CAACCTCCTCTTGAATTTGCCCAAGGTAGGGGCGAGGACCACTTCCCTGGGAAGCTGGTTCCAGATTTTGGCCACCCTAACTGTAAAATATTGCCTTCTGATCTCTAACCTAAACCTATTCTCCATCAGCTTATTACCATTGTTCCTTGCCACCCCAGGTGGTGCTGGGAAGAAAAGGGCTCTACCTATTTGCCGTTGATCTCCCCTGATGAGTTTCTAGGCAGCCACCAGGTTCCCCCTCAGCCTCCTCTTGCTGAGGCTGAACAGGTTCAGGTCCTTCAGTTTCTCCTCGTAGGGCCTGTCCTGCTGCCCTCTCACCAAGCGGGTGGCCCTCCTCTGAACCCTCTCCAGGCTGGCCACATCCCTTTTGAATACAGGACGCAGTACTCCAACTGTGGCCTGACCAAAGTCACATAGAGGGGGAGTATCACCTCTCTGGACCGGCTTGAGATGCACCTTTGGATGCATGACAAGGTATGGCTGGCCTTGCTGGCTGCGGTCTGGCATTGGCGGCTCATGTTTATCTTGGAGTCAATAATGATTCCAAGATCCCTTTCCACCTCTGTGCTTTCAAAAGGGGAACTCCCCAGCCTGTATGTATACTTCTCCCAAGGATTCCTTCTCCCAAGATGAAGCACCTTGCATTTGTCTACGTTGAACCCCATCCTATACTCGTCTGCCCACTTTTGTAGTCTGTCTAAATCTAGTTGCAGCCTCTCTCTCCCTTCAAGTGTGTCCACCTCGCCCCACGTCTTAGTGTCATCAGGAAACTTGGACAGCGTGCTTTCAACCCCTTGTCCAAGTCGCTGATGAAGATGTTAAACAGTGCGGTTCTAAGGTTGAGTACAACCTGTCCACCACTACTCTCTGGGTGCGCCCCATCAGCCAATGTTTTACCCATTCAACTGTGCAGGCAACAGTGAGTAGGGTGGAGACCCACCAGTCCCTCTCCTAGACTTCATTAATTGGCCTTCCTGACCTTCAGTCTGTCCTCTTTTGAACATTCACTGCTATGGACTTGTCCTTGATGATAGTCTATGGAGTACAATTTGCCTACTGAATATCCAAGCTCCCTTCAAGGAAATTCCCAGTCAGTGGATTTAACTAAACATGGAGGCAGCAAAATCTCCTGAGGTCCATTCCAACAGTCCCCTTCTCCTTCCTCCTTTTGTCCTTATTCATATATTCATAGATGTTAAGGCTGGAAAAGACCTTGAAGATCATCAAGTCCAGCCCCCTGCCCCAGGGGCAGGAAGTCAGCTAGGGTCAAAGGATCCCAGCAAGATAAGTGTCCAAACACTTCTTGAATGAGTCCAGAGTAGCTTCCTGCAGCACTTCTGGAGGGAGTCTATTCCAGGCCTTGGGGGCTCGGACAGTAAAGAAATTTTTCCTTATGTCCAGCCTAAAATGGTCTTGGAGGAGTTTATGACCATTGGTCCTTGTTATCCCTCGAGGCGCTCTGGTGAACAGACCAGAGGGATTCCCCCAGATCCTGATGCACACCCCGTATGTACTTATAGGCTACCACCAGGTCACCCCTGAGCCTGTGCTTTTCCAGGCTGAAGAGTCCCATGGCTCTCAGCCTCTCTTCATAAGGCCTATTCTCTTGTCCTCTGATCATGCACATGACTTTCCTCTGGACTCTTTCCAACTCCTTGACATCCTTCTTGAATTGTGGAGCCCAGAACTGGATGCAGCACTCCAGCTGCGACCTCAGCAAGGCTGAGTACAGTGGGAGGATGACATCCAGGGATTCACTTGAGAAGCTTATGACACATATGGGATGCAAGTCCCTCCAGGACTGCCTCCCCCACATCCACACTTCCTGCACACCAGGCCCTATGTAGCACCAAAGACCTCGTGAAGACCTTCTGAACTTCCTTGCATTTAATTTAGTGTTTCACTAGCGTACTTCTAGAAATACCAGTTGTCTTCCAAAAAAAGTTAGAAAACAACTAAACTACAGATCTTTTATTATATTTATGAAATGCTGAGAGTCAATCTTTATATTTTATATGTTTTTAAATATAAACTATCATTTAGATGCACATGTGGAGGCAAATCAATATCCTCCTGCAAACAAAAAACGTATGAGCAGTGAGGATTTATGCACAGCTATATAAATTAAAATATGGAGGCTGACTCACTGAGACATCCTGAACAACAGCATGGTGCTAAAATACTGTTGGCACCTCTTTTTGCAGTGAAAAAAGGGAAAAAATGCATCCCCCCCCATATAACTGACATCTGGAGGGAATGCCAGAACCATATTAATGGTATGGCTACCTGGCTGACTTTCTGAATATTCTGCTGCACTTAGGTGCTGGGCCATTTCCCTATCAGTCACATTCATACTCACGTGAAAGAGGACTGGTAGCTAGGATATATGCCTAGGCTAACCTATGACCCACTGTCTCCAACAACATACTTTACAGTAGCTGCAACAGAGTTTAAGTATAAGTAGTTCTTCACTTCCATTATTGCATGTCCATGTACCTGTCTCTTCCCTTCTACATATCCACTTATTTTTACACACCCTCTAATTGCAGCAAATTGTATGGCACTTTCTGTTGTCCTGCTCCATATCTGACTTTTCATTTTCCATATACCCCCTACTCCTTCCCAGAAGATGAGTTGAGGGATAGCCTCCCAACATACATTTAATTATCTGGAAGAGCATTTCAGGATTCTTGTAAATATATGGAAGCGGATATTCCTGTGAACATGATTTTAACTGAAACACAAAGAATAGTAACCATTCCCAGCCATCTTCAGGCAACTAATACAGTTGGGCACCCACCAGGTGGATCTGCAGCCTGGGGAACGGATCAAAAGCAGTATTGCAAGGTGAAGGAAGCTAACCAGAGGTCTAGCAATGTACCCACTATGTGCCCATGCTATACAAGGTACTTGCCAGTACCTTGAGCTCAGAGTCCACTGTCTCCTGTTACCCTGCTCTTTCATCAGGAGAACTGATGTATAGGGAGACAGAGAGAGAGAAGCGGGGAGTCTACCCACATTTTACAAAGAAAAGCTTGCTCAGTAAGTCAGTCTAGCAGACATCCTGGGAGACTTCTTTGAGAACAGGTTCAGGGGTGAAACAAAGCATGGCTCTGCTCTGCAAAGACAGAAGCACAGGAATGGAGAAGACAGAGTTGACCTGGTAATTGCTACCTGCCTTTTTATTATTGCTCTATGGGGAGTTATGATGCTAAGAGGGAGAGATTTCATAGTTTAAGACTACTACAGACACTGTTATGAAGAATATTGTATCGTCTTTGGAGTATGTTTCACTTTAGGAAGGGGGTGGAGGCAAAAGTACTATACTTCAATATTTCACTTTCCTTCTCACCTAGTTTTAGCCATATATATTCCAAAATGGCTAAATCTGGAGGGCCAAATTAAAGCCAAGAGTACTTGCTGTTGCATAATCCTACCTTTGCAGTTCTAACTGCAATGACAGGGCAGGGTCAGGAATCTAGCAAGCAGAGTTGTTTTTCTTTCCCCCCAAAACATTGCCTATGATGAATGGGTTGCACCAATGTACTGCTGTTAATTTGCACTTCTGCTCAGGAAGTACGGAACATGGATTATAGCTTCACTGCTCTCGTTCATGTGCTATAGTCAGCAATCATAAGTGATCTCCTTGCTTTGTCTTGTTCAAGAAATGATGTCCGGGAGGGTGACGCTTATCGTAATGCTCCTGTTGCTTCAAATGATGGAGTCTTTTGTGCTCAAGTACCCAGATTTTGATCCTCATCCTCCATTTTGTGTCCTTTTGTGGGATGCTCTTGGTGGTTTGAAAGGTAAAGGGAGGGAAGTTGGAGGTCAG